ACATACATATATATATATATATACACACATATATATAAAATTGGTTATACATCAATGTTAGTTGAAATAAAAAAATAAATTATAGACTAGTCTATGGAAAATATATCTTTATGTTCTTTGATTGCTTGTATCCCAGAGGTGTTTATGCCCAAACCACAACTATTATGAAACTTTTTTTATTTTCAGATACTAGACTACGTGCAACCTTTACGTCCCTATGAGTACTTCGACACCCTGAAAGACTTCCTTGAGTATGATGGGAAGGTTCTGCGCTTCTACTGCATGTGGGATGACTCCGGCTCAGTTTTTGGGGACTATAGACAACTCATCTTGCATTACTTCTTGTCTGATGGTACTATTGAAATCAAAGAACTGCTGCCCCATAACTCAGGCCGGGACCCTATGTCATTTTTCCTCCTGAGGGGAAAGCTGCCCAAGGTGAGTGGTGGACACAGAACCACTTTCTGAGTTTGCTTGTGGGCTGAGAGACTCTAGTCCAGTGATGGTGAACCTTTTGAGCTCGGCGTGTCAGCATTTTGAAAAACCCTAACTTAACTCTGGTGCCGTGTTGCATATAGAAATGTTTTTGACATTTGCAACCATAGTAAAACAAAGATTTATATTTTTGATATTTATTTTATATATTTAAATGCCATTTAACAAAGAAAAATCAACCAAAAAAATGAGTTCACGTGTCACCTCTGACACGCGTGTCATAGGTTCGCCATCACTGCTCTAGTCAGTCACTGGAATGTCATGTTTTATGACTATGTGATGACAGTTACCATACATTATTGCAAGAGTTTAGAAAACTTTCATTTTTTGTGCCCTATATTAATATACATCTTGGAAAGTAATGCAGAGGATATGACAGATTGGAGTTGGAATATTCTGGGCATAAGGCAAATCAAGGGAAAATGTCAAATGCCTGAGAAATTACCTATTCAATATTGAGTTCACAGTCTTATGAAGGCAAATGACTCTCTAGTAAAAAAATTGCTTATGGCCTTGAATGGGACATTGATCTTTGGCTTCTGTATCCTACTGAGGAGATCCCATGGTATTGATATGTGTTGTGAATGTGTACACACACACACACACACACACCGGAGTGACTCTTCTGAGAGTAACCACCAATCACCAACCAGCCAATGGCTAGCAGTAGTGACAGCTTTCCATTTTATTTGCTATTAAAAAGTTATCAGACTGATTTCTACACATATGTATGGCTAGTTGAGAGCTAACGTAACTTGGATACAGCCAGAAATGGCACAAATATAGAAGACCTGGGTTAGAATTATGGTTCTACATTTAATAACTGTGTGATCTTGGGCAAGTCACTTAAGCTCTTTGAGTGTATCACCTTATCTCTAAAGAATAGTTAACACCTCCATCCTGAGATAACTGTAAAGATAGAATGAGGTAACATAGTAAAAAACACTACCTAAGGACCTATAAACACCTATGAGGACACAAAAACATACAGGCTTTTTTCACAGCTCCATATTACATTGTATTTCTTATTTGCATAAAATATTTTTTAACTTAATTCTTAATGCTACTGAAGAGTTTACTGTAACACCTATTTCTGATGCAAACAATCACTGGTTATGTGGTCTAAACAGGAGGCTCTTTCAGATTCTTTGAGCCCATAGCCAGAAGCCCTGCAGTATTGCTGGGAGGGGTGGTGGTGGTGGTGGTGGCAGGATTTGTCTCAGAGGGAGCTCTGGAGTCTGGACAGCAGGTGGCCACGAGATACATGGGAAGCCTATTTTTAGAATGGCTTTGAAAAATAGGCTGACTATAAAATAATAATGACACACCTGACATTTGCAGTGTGTCTGGACATCAATTGCTTCATTCATTCATTTAACACATATTTATTGTCAACTGTATGTCAGCTCTGGGGTTACAGTGAGAAAGAAAATGGATTAAGTCCTGCTTCATGGAGCATACATTCTCATGGGGGAAAGATACAGTAGTGGTAGGAGTTCCCCTGGCACTTTCAACATCTTTTGAGAAAGCAAGAAATAAGTACTATTGTTGTAGTTACATGAAACTGAAGATAAAAACCTGGCCCCAAGTCCTGTAGCTAGTAAGCGGTGAAGAGAGAGTTTGTGTCCAAATGTACTGTTTTCCTATGTTATGTGGCTTACTTATACCCCATACATAATACATTCACACATTTGCACTTACATATTATGTCATATGTATCAGAGATGATTCAGATTTCTCATCTGTATATGATAAACTGATCACTGTGAATCTGTAAGCTAATGAAGGTATTTCCTGCAGCTTATGCAACTGCTTGGACCACCTCCAGTGCATGTAGAACTGAGGAGTGTTCCGGTTCTCTCCAGGCCGTGGTTTCTGTTCGAAGCCGACCACACTCTGTTGTTCTTGCTCTCTCACCACACTGTCTCTCTCACCCAGCAAATGCCTCTTTGGTTCAGGATCTGGCGGGGTGCTAAGCAGAGTAAAGAAAAGAAGGCAAGGCATGGTTTGTAGTTCAGTGAAGGGAAAAGATGAGGCAACTAGAGAACCACAAAAAGTGGTTTCATCCTGTGGTAGGTGCTATGGAGCATTGAATTAGGGACAGGCCAGTAGGATGGGAGAGGTTATGGGGAAATATGAGGCTTCTCAGGGCTTTGGTGGATGGGCGGAGGATAGTCCAGCCCGCAGGGGGTGAGGAAGCACAGGGACAGGTAGATAAAGTTTGTCCCCAATGTCTTGTCTTCGTGCGGATGGCAGCGAAGAACCATGTAATGCATATTTCCCACTTGAGCCCCTTTTTGTATTTGGAGCCCATCTACCACACCTTGCTTTGGTTTTTGTCTTCCAGTATGGCCCACCTGGAGTCCATCAACCAGGAGACGTAACAGATAGAATAGTTCTCAATGTGTATAATGGCTATAATGTAAGCCGAGTGCATGGCTACCTGTTGGATAAATTCAAGGTGAGGAACCTTATGTTTTATTACTGTTTCCAATGTGACGTCTCTGGAACCTGAAATGTGGGGGGAGTTACATATTCATCTCTGGTGAGCTTGATTGTGAGTGAAATCAATAAGTGTATACATTGCATTGCTGTTTTTCAATAATAAACATGCTTAAGTGCATATATAAATATATGCTTTGCATTGCTGTTGGGTAGCACTACATTGCTAAAATAATTTTTTTTAAAGTTAGTCTCTACTAGTTGTCTTTTGGTTTGATTTTAAAAATTTGGCTGTAAATTATATAATTGAGTTTTTTTAAAAATTATTTTTTCTGCCGTAACCGGTTTGGCTCAGTGGATAGAGCGTCGGCCTGTGGACTGAAAGGTCCCAGGTTCGATTCTGGTCAAGGGCATGTACCTTGGTTGCGGGCACATCTCCAGTAGGGAGTGTGCAGGAGGCAGCTGATTGATGTTTCTCTCTCATCGATGTTTCTAACTCTCTATCTCTCTCCCTTCCTCTCTGTAAAAAAATCAATAAAATATATTTAAAAAATTATTTTTTCTTTTGGGAAGGGTTAGATTTTTGGAGGGTTTGTGCTGCCAGTATTGTGTTCCTTTGTTTTCATTAGGTGGCAAAATTAGAACAAGAGTTTTACAAAGATACTGACCTGAAAATAGGAGCCACCATCAATGTGTGGGGAAGAAAAGTGCTCCTTTGTGACTGTGATGAATTTACGAAGACTTATTATAGGACTAAATATGGAATTCGTAAGTGATACATCTGTCAACTAGAAAATAATACTGAAAACTTAGAATCTTTGTTCTCTAGTTAAGATTTCACTATATAAACTCATATAAAAAGTAGTTTATGCCTTTAAGGCTAATATAATATGAGCATTATGCATTTGAACAGAAAATTATGCAAATGCAAATTGTGATGCATTTTATAGTCATGCTGACTTTTTATATTTCTCATAACATATGTTAAAATCTCCCATTTAGCAGACACTATTATTACACAACATTTCTTGAGTAACAACAGTGTACTTAATGTAACTAATGACTAGAAATTATATCCGTGATGCGGGGTAGGTGGGCAATGAATAAATACTCTCTTATAATCTTTACATTTGCTTTTCCTGACTTTTTGGTAAGGTTAAATGAATATACTTAATGTGACTTAGTTACTTTTGACAATTTAATTTTGTTTATAATTAATCTGGTTCTAAATTCTATACAGTATATTTTGGTGTTCTTGATGCCCAAACCAGGACAAAGTCCCATCAATAATTGTAGTTACATTTCCTTCCTTGTCCGTAATTGTGGTCAGTGGAATACCTGGTGTCTCCACTCTATAGTGCCACAGGAAGTCCCTGACAAGTGCCAACAACACAGATAGGGGCCTCCCTAAGAGGAAGCCAGGGAGAGATTTCGAATGCATTGTGAAACCTTGGTGCTTAGTACTTTCTCTTAACTAATGATCCCACAACATACTTGGGGGAGAAAAAATGGCAAACAGACTAAGAGAAGGAGTTGGCCACAGTCTCAAGAAAGGTACTTGAGTAAGCTTTCTATTTACATAGAAGCAGAGGGCTTGATAGAAATCCAAGAGATCTCTGTACCCCCATGCAAAACCCAATCTGATTATTAAAAAGATAAGATTTTTTCACGCATTTAAGGTTTCTAAGGAGAAGGTGATTCCATAGAATTCTTCCACAAAATAGTCTAGTGTGACCCCTCTACCCCGCCCCCCCCCCAGGCAGCTTGCTCATCCCACTGGCCCGGACTTGCCTGTGGGCTATAACATATGACTCCCTCATTATTTCATGTGGATGAACACGGACTGTAGCATGAAGGTTGGAAAAGACTCCAGAGGCTCCAGCAGGTGTTTCTTTCACCGAAGGGACAGGGATTTGAATGTAAACTGTTTGTGCTTAGAATTCTTTCCTTGTTTTTTTTTGTGTGTCTATAAGAAGACTTTCTTATTATTAATTCTTAGCGGCTGGGATAACCCAACTAGTAACAAGACCATTCATTCCCATTGCCCATCAACACTGAATAGGTCGTGCTGACATTACGGATGAGCAAAAAACTTAAAGCAACTTTGATGTGGAGTCACTTCTAGCCATCTCTGAACTCCTGGTACTAGAAACAGCAGGACATCCAAGATGAGAGTTTAATGATCATTTGATTAAATTAGCCACCCCAAGATACGGTGACAGGGATGAAATTCTAGTCTCACCATATGGCCTCAATGGAGTTAACAGTTTTTTTTTTACCTCTTTTCCCTACCTTATGAAGTAAAGAGGATCAAGGGTTAGATGATTTCCAAGGATTTTTTAGCTAGAGCTAGAAAACTGTGGGATTTGATAATCATTTGACTTCAAAATGAACATCCCATCAAAATCATTTGACCTAGGCATTGGGTACAAGTAGAGGTGGATTTACCTTGAAGTTACTAAAGTCCATGCATATGAAGTTTTAGGCTTCTTCCTTTGCAGGGGCTCCAGTTCAAAGCCCTGGGCCCAATTTTGTCTTAATAATTTGTCATTCTTTGTCTTGAAGAGTTTTTCCAAATTATTTAAACTTTGGGCCTCCTTAAACCTGGGTCAGTATCTATGTCACTAGAACATACAAAATCAACTTTGAGGTAATTGAAGGCTTTTCCTAGTGTTGTTTCCAACTGAGATGGCAAATAATAAATCACTGTGAATGAACATTAAGACTCCTTTGAAAAATATATCACATCTCTGTAAATTTATTGGAATCTAGTTATTTGTCAATAGATATTCAATATATATGTTTTTAAAGTCACTTGGAACTAGAGGAATCAGACTACTTGAAAAACAGATGTGTCTCAAAGATCCATCAGAGTGTCAGTTTAAGAAGATAATTGGGAAGATGCTTTGTACAAAAATGTATACTTTTTCATTTGTTCACCAAATGTTTTTAATACCTGAAAAATGCAGGATAATGGAAAACCAAAGACAGGAAACTTATTCAGGTTCAAGGACAAAACGTTGTAAGCAATACCCAGAGAAATGATATCTTGAGTCAGAATATCCAAAAAGATGTATGTGGTGTTAGAACAGTCTGGCATGAAGGAGTGGAACAGTTCTCAACTTTTACACACTAGATGGCACTGTGGGTGCAGAGGAACACTAAATTGGTTCTTTTGTTACTTAAATCTGTTGCAAAAATTATGTAGTTGAGAAAACAACACTGTGTTATGAAATCTGCAATTATACAGGAAAGTATAGAATGCATTCTTAGTTACTTTGCTATTCAATATGTGTCCTCTTTTGGTTAGATTTCTCAGATTAATATCAGATAAATATGGGGGAGTATGCTTGAGAGGAGTTCACACAAAGGCTGTGAGGAAGTCTAAGGAAATGTAAACTTTTCAAATTAGAATGAGAAATAGCCTCAAACCCTTAACCTTTTAATTAGTATAAGACATGTCCTTTAATTTAAAGAGTTAGTTTGCCCTGGATGACAAATTGATGCACATTTTCAATTACAGAGGTGTGCACTAAATCTGAATTCTTCCAGCTATTAGAGCTTTGACAATGGAAAAGGAAATCATTGCTTACATGAATTTCTTTCAATTACAAATGACACTTTTTAATACAATTGTAGTCCTTTTGTGGGCAGTAGCAAGAGCAACCTGGAGCAGTGGTTGGTAACAAAAAGTTTTGCTTTTGTTTAACTAGATAGCGAAGGGCCGTGGCCTGGAGTTGAGTTGAGGAAAAGGGAGGTTTAAAAAATTTGTACAGCAGGAGCGGACAGTGGATGGGAAAGGTAAAGGCAGAATAGTCAGGAGTCAATCTGTTTGGAAAGGAATTTGATTAGTGAGTGTTGACTAAAGATATGAGAGAGCTAAACTGCAGCTTAAAATATGGAATGGGTGGAATAAATTTCTAAGTCTGAATTTTCATATCACTGGAAAAATCAGGATGAACAAAAATATTCAGAAACGGGATGTGATAACAAAAGAGAAATGTTTACTTATTTGACATAGTTTCTTTTTTTCCTTTTGAACCAATGACGATTATTGAGTGAGTTCTGTGGTTTTTGTAAACATGATTGAAACCTACCCTCACAGGATTTTGCTGTGTTTTGTTTGAAAGAGTTTAAAATAGTCTACAAAGATCTTCATGTTCATCTTGAAAACATAACAAACCTTTCAAAACAGCCGTAATCAGAGCAAAAATAATATTGATGTTTCATTTGCCTTTGCTTTGTTCTAGAGAACTTTAACTCAATTCCATGCAAGCCTCCATCTCCTCCAAAAATAGAAAGGAAATTTCCACCTTACACCGGTTTTGGTTCTGAAGAGGATTCTCTCCGCTCCTGCATAGGCCTCGTGCCTGTAGTTCGTCCTAATGTGGAGGCCTTCAAGAAGTGCATAGAAAAAGACAGGTACTTGACGGAACCGTGATATTTTGGTTTGATCTTTTTTCCAAATGTGTTCAAAATATATACTATAGTCTCCAAGATGATACAGATGTTACTCAGCTCATCTAATGTCAAGTCCAGGGACAAGTTATAGCTTTTTAATGAAGTTGATTAACATGCAAGTATTAACAGGTTCTTACTTGAATGGTTATTATATTTTTCCTGGTTTTACTGAGATATAATTTGACATATAACAATGTATAATATAATGATTTGCTATATGTATGTACTGAAAAATGATTACCATAATGAAATGAGTTAACATTCAACACTTTACACAGTTATAGTTTTTTTCCTTGTGATGAAAACTTTTATGATTTACTCTCACTTTTTAAAAAAAATATATTTTATTGATTTTTTACAGAGAGGAGGGAGAAGGATAGAGAGTTAGAAACATCGATGAGAGAGAAACATCGATCAGCTGCCTCCTGCACATCTCCTACTGGGTATGTGCCCGCAACCAAGGTACATTCCCTTGGCCGGAATCAAAGCTGGGGCCCATGAGTCCGCAGGCTGACGCTCTATCCACTGAGCCAAACCGGTTAGGGCAACTCTCAAAACTTTTAAATATACAATATACTATGGTTAACTATGGTCACCATGTTGTATATTAATTACACCCCCAGAAATTATTTATCATGTAACTGGAAGTTTGTACCTCTTGATCATTTTCATCTAATTCATTCATTCCCAACTCCCTTCTTCTGGCAACCACAGATCTGATATCTATTTCTGTAAGTTTGGTTTTATTAGATTCCACATATAAGTGAGATAATATAGTACTTGTCTGTCTGACTTATTTCACTTTGCATAATGCCCTCCGGTTCCATCCTTATTGTATCAAATGGCAGGATTTCCTTCCTTTTTAATGGCTGAATAACATTCCGTTGTGTATATATGACATATATAGAAGTTTCTTTATTCATTTGTCAATGGACACTTAGGTTGTTCCCATGTCTTGACTGCAGTGAACATGGGTTGCAGATATTTCTTTGGGAAAATGATTTAATTTCCTTCAAATATATATGCAGGACTTGAATTGCTGGATCATATGATTGTTCTATTTTTAATTTTTTGAGGAACCTGCATAGTGTTTTCCGTAGTGGCTGTACCAATTTACATTCCTACCAACAGTGCCCAAGGGTTCCTTGTTTTCCAAATCCTTGCCATTGAGTGGTTATGAGTGGTTATTTTAATAAGTGTCACCTGGAAGCACCTGAAATCATATAGTGAGAGGAATGGCCAACCTGCCTTAATTATATCTCAATATCTCTATCTCTATCTCTCTCTCTATCTCTATCTCTGTCTCTATCTCTATCTATCTCTATCTCTATCTCTATCTCTATCTCTATCTCTATCTCTATCTCTACTCTATCTCTCTTTCTGTATATATTTCCTCATGATGGTCCCTAGAAAATGGTGTAGAGTAGAGGTCAGCAAACTTTTTCTTAAAGGGTCAGATAGTAAATATTTTTGGCTTTGCTGGCCATATGGCCCCTGTCATAACCACTTAACTCTGCAGTTGTAGGTGAAAGCAGCCACAGAGTCCATGAACAAATGCGTGACTATCTTCCAATAAAACTTTGTTTATGGACACTGACACTTGAATCTCATATAACTTTTACCTATTCAAATATTACTCTTTTGATTTTTTCAACCATTTAAAAATGTAAAAACCATTCTTAGCTCACAGGCTATATAAAAACAGGTGGCAGGTTGTACTTGGCTCATAAGCTGTAGTTTGCCTACCCCTGGCATAGAAGCTTCCATGATTTATGTGTTTTTTTTTAATATATATATTTTATTGATTTTTTACAGAGAGGAAGGGAGAGGGATAGAGAGTCAGAAACATTGATGAGAGAGAAACATCGATTAGCTGCCTCCTGCACACCCCCTACTGGGGATGTGCACGCAACCTAGGTACATGCCCTTGACTGGAATCGAACCCGGGACCCTTCAGTCCCCAGGCCGACGCTCTATCCACTGAGCCAAACCGATCAGGGCGATTTATGTGTTTTTGAGAATGTCATTTGGAAATTAATGTGGTTGTTCTTTTTCAATTACAGTTGACATGTAATATTATATTAGTTTCAGGTATACAGCATAATGATTATACATTTGTATAATCTACAAAGTGATTACCCGATAAGTCTAGTACCCATCTGACACCATACATAATTATTACAATATTCTTGACTTATAGTCCCTATCCTGTACTTTATACCCCTGACTATTTTTATAACTGGCAATTTGTACTTCTTAATCTCTTCCTCTTTTCATCCCCCCTCCTCCCTCCCATCTGGCAACCATCAAAATGCTTCCGTATCTATGAGTCTGTTTCTGTTGCAATTAATGTGGCTTTAGTTTGAGAGGTTTAGTTGAGTTCAGTAACCATAGATTGTTCACATGGCTGAATAGAATTTCAAAAGATGGATTTTTAGAAGTTTTCTTAATATATACGAGGAAAAATCTGCCCCTGAGTCATACATATAGAAGGTAGGTACTTCCCTTAGCTACCTTTTGCTTTCTCAGGGAGAGCAGGACCTGGAGAAAGAAGTTGGGAGGAAAGTGGTAGGAAAATGTTGCAAATATTTGAAAAGGATGTGGGCTAAGCATTGAAGTCCTGTTTAAGAGAAATGAAGGGTCAGGAGAACCTGTGGAGAAAAAATGATGAAGGGAACATGTAATTAGACCAGGAGAAGGAAAAGGAAGAGATAGCACCCCGAATTTGATAACATTTATGGAGTCAGATGCTGTTGTAGAACATTTTGAAGTAGAGAGAACAATAGTTTTGCTATCACTGTAAAAATGGTGAAAATATATTATTAAGAGCTATGTAGAATGTCTAAAAGGCTGCCTATGATGTCCTTTGCCTTTCAAGAAATAATCTTTTATTTTCGAGGACTTTAGAGTTTTGTTTTCAGTATTAGAATCTATGCTACTCAAAATATGGCACCCATACTTGTTAGAAATGTTAGTTCTTGTGCCATACTCAAAACCTACTGAGGCAGAAACCCTGGGGGGTGGGACTGGTATTGTGTTTAACCAGCCCTCCAGGGGTTCTGATGGGTACCATGGTTTGAGAATTCTGATTTTGATAACATGAGAGGGGCACCATCATCCTACCTTATAGACAGCAGTGTTTACAGTGAGATTGCAGGGCAGGGTTTTTGATGGATACTTTTCACTAACTGCTGTGTTTTAAGGGCAGCTACCCGAAGGAGGCAGGAAGAAAGAATGTCCCTATTATAAAAGAGGGACATTTTCTTATAAGTAAACAAGATGAAACATGATCCAGGGTGTTTCTTTGGAATCCAGGGAAAAACAGTTCTTTTTAGTTGCCTTAGTCTCTCCTTCTGTCTACACTGTGTCAACTTGCCCACAGAGCATTGACTATAGACAGTATTCCATGTTCTTTTCATGTTGTTGTGGCTAGAGCAGCCGTGGGCAAACTACGGCCCGCGGGCCGGATCCGGCCCGTTTGAAATGAATAAAACTAAAAAAAAAAAAAGACCGTACCCTTTTATGTAATGATGTTTACTTTGAATTTATATTAGTTCACACAAACACTCCATCCATGCTTTTGTTCCGGCCCTCCGGTCCAGTTTAAGAACCCATTGTGGCCCTCGAGTCAAAAAGTTTGCCCACCCCTGGGCTAGAGGATGGTGGTACAAGCACAAATGTCTCTAATTTTGTTTCTTTCTGTCCACTACCCATCTGTGCCAGGAATACACTGCCCTCAAGCTCCTCCTACACACTGACCTTGTTTCCATAGTAACTGGCACATTCGGCTGGAGACTTATACATGAGTTTGAATAATCCAAGGTTTAAAACTGTGAGAACCTAAGGAAGATGATCTCACAAAGCGTACAAAGACCAGTTTCTTAATGCAAATAAATAAACTGAATTGCGACATACAATTGTATATAACATATATCGATTATATGTATTGCTAGTAAAAATTTACTGGGTATTAATTGTTGTATGAGGTTAATGGTGATTTGGTTTGAGTCATTGGAGGAAATAGTTTTGAATTAAAGGATATGACATTTTTGATGGGATTGTCTGGGTAAAAATTCACTGTGGTGGCCTCTGATTGTCTAGCCTGACTTGGGATAACCAGAATAATGTGTTTCTTGCTACCCCAGGCTGAATTAGTTACTTTGTTCTCAGTTTGTACACAATGCTTTGCTGATCACACCTCTAATAATAATAATAATAATAATAATATCACTAATAAAAAGCAAAAGCCATTTGTAGTTATGATGTGCTAACTTACTTTACAATACTTGATCTTATTTAATCCTCAAAACAGCCTCATAAGGTACCCATGCTTTACATGAGAAAACGGAGGCTCAGAGAGGCGATATAATTTGTCTAGGCTCACACAGCTAATTTTTAGTTGAAGTAGGTTTTGAATCCAGAAGAAGTGTGACTTCTAGAGTTCACCTGATTTGTGTGTTTTTTTTTGTTTTTGTTTTTGCCACAGAACCTGTACTTATTGCAGTGTGCGGCAATTGCTTGATAATGTAATTGTGCTCTCCCCTTAGAACAAGAGCCCCTTGAGAGCAGAGACTGGCTTTACTGCTTTCCTCAGAGTTCAAACAATGGGGACTACATACTAGGGACTCAATAAATATTTGTCCAGTAAGAGAAGGAATGATGCATAAGTGATTCAATAGAATCAACATTCGACCTTTCAATTCTTAATGATGGATAGGAGAGACAGATGGACTTCCCATCAGGATGGTTATTATCCCAAACTTGTGCTCTTCATAGCCATATAGCATACGAGAGGGTTACCAAATCTGTTTGTTACTTATAAATCCAATTATGTACTAGATGAGGTCTATCTGAAGCCTGGGACACTAGGGACCAAGAAAACAGCAATGGAAATCTGGGCTGCCCTGGGACTAGCCTTCCAAACTGCTGCTTTCCATCTCACATGAGGCCTCAAACTGGAAATCTTGATGCCATGCTTTTGCACTCCTGCTTCCTTGGATAATCTGAGAAAGGGCACTTTCTGCTCTGCGAATTAGAATTTTTTTCCTTTTCTTTCTCTTTTGTAAATCACTGTGACCACAAGGAAAGAATGAGTTTCAACTTAGGAAAACATGAAACCTCCCTGCTTAGAGTTGTGACAGGGAAGTGACGAAGTACATGGTTTATTTTACTCTATGCTTCCTTGGGTAATGATTTTGATTATCAAAGACCTCCCCAAGGGTTTAGGATTTGTTACATATTCCACATTTCACTAGCTGATATCCATAGACATGCTTCTGCTGACAGATCATAAATTAATTTCTTCAATGACAAGGCAATTAGCTTCGGGAACTTTGATTCTAAACTTTGATTCCATTGTCAGTCAACTAGATTATTCTATTCATGCATAGAATTCTAAGTGCAAATTCCAATCTATATGGATCGTATAGCAACTTTATACAAACAATGTAAAATTGTTATATTAGACAATGGTTCATAAGATGCAGCCAGAAAACAGATTTGTAGTGGCTACTTACAATATGGGTGATAAGTGAAATAATATTTAATATAGCATTTGAAAGGGAAAAGGTAATTTTTCCCTGAAAGGGATTTGGGGAGATGCTGAGGAAATGGGGGAATGACTCAGGGAGGAGAGGGTGTGGGGCTAGAAGAAAGAAAAGAAATGGGCATGAGAAAGTGGGAAATGAAATGGAGATGTGGCTCCAGGACGCCATGGAGCACCCCTGCTGCCGTGCGCATGCTCAAACAGTGAGGGCTGGGTGCTGTTCTTCTTGCTGACGTGATTGTTGTAATTTCTGACTAGCTGCGTGAGTAGGGAACAACTGTTTAATGCAGCTTGTTTGAGTAATGTGTTTATGGCATTTGTTTGGGGTACATTTTCCCAATGTGTTACCCTGGACATCTAAAGAATAAGTCATATTTTAATAAATGGAGAAATTCCTCTGCATATAAATTTAGAACCTTAGTAAGAAGATGGTTGAACTTTTTCAACTTCAGAGAAGTTATCCTACTATCTTAAAACCATAGGGTGAAGGAGTCAAAAGGTGCAAACTCCCAGTTACAAACTAAATAAGTCATGGGGATCTAATGTATAGCATGCTGACTATCCTGTATAATAAAAGCCTAATATGCAAATTGACCCTTTGACTGGAAGTTTGACCAGGAGTTCGACCGCACACTATGACATGCGCTGACCATAGGGGGCGGCGCGGAATATTGTGGGTGTTGGCGACGTGGTGCTGGCAGCAGGCAGCAGTGGAGGTGCTGCCAGCCTCAATGGGCCCAAACGAGAGCAGGACCATGGTGGAGCAGGTGAGCGGGCAGTGCCAGGCCAAGGCAGGTGTGAGTGGGGGCCCAATTACCCCGCCAATTGCCCTGCAGACAGTGACCAGCAGCGGCGGCAGGGGGCAGTGCCGCCACCCAGCTACCAGGTGCTGAGGGAGCCAGGCCGGGGTGGGGTGGGGGGGTTGGCCCCAACCAATCGCTCCACAGATAGTGACCAGTGGCTAGCAGGCCCTGATTTCCCAATTGGGGCAGCCCGGGCTAGGATGGGGAACTGGGGGTGCGTGGTGGCAACCAACCACCCGCAGCGCCCGAGTGGGGGGCTATGACCTCTTGCTGGCTACCTGTGGGGGGGGGGTGACGGGGATGGAGGTGCGATGAGAATGCAGGGTGTCTGCTGAGCTTGCTCTCACTCACCCTGCTACCCTGCCCTGGGATGCCTGGGCTCGCAGACTGGGAAAGCCCTCATGCTCAAGTGCCGGGCACCCAGGTGCTGGGCCACCCACTTCCATGTGGCACCGCTGGGCTGCCCAGAGGCCCACACTGTGCCCCAGCCTGCCATGTCCAGTCGTGCTCACTGCATCTCTGTGTGGGGACTTGGACGCCGTGACTCAGGCGGAGGGGGGCACACCAGGGTCTGGAGGCCCAGGTGCTGCTCAGGGCCCAGAGGTCAGCTGGGACCTGCCCTTCCACGCCAGACGCTCGTGCTTTGATTGCTGGCCAGGCCTTGGGACCACACCCATTACAAATTTTGTGCACCGGGCCTCTAGTAGTTAATACTGCATTACATTTTAGAAAGTTGCTAAGAGAGTAGATCTTAAAAGTTCTCATAACAAGACAAAAATTTATAACTATGGCCGAAACCGGTTTGGCTCAGTGGATAGAGCGTCGGCCTGCGGACTGAGGGGTCCCGGGTTCGATTCTGGTCAAGGGCATGTACCTGGGTTGCGGGCACATCCCCAGTGGGAGATGTGCAGGAGGCAGCTGATCGATGTTTCTCTCTCATCGATGTTTCTAACTCTCTATCTCTCTCCCTTCCTCTCTGTAAAAAATCAATAAAATATATTTAAAAAAAAATTTATAACTATGCATGGTCATAGATGTTAACTAGATTTACTGTGGTGATCATTGCGCAGTATATACTAATATCAAATTATTATGTTATACATCTGAAATGAATATAATGTTATATGTCAATTATAACTCAATGAAAAAATTTATAGTACACCTTTTGAAGGTTTTATTTTATTATTATTATTTGTTGTTAATCTTCACCTGAAGATACTTTTCCATTGATTTTTAGAGAGAATGGAAGGGAGGGGGAGAGACAGAGAGAAACATCGATATGAGAGAAATGCATTGATTGGTTGCCTCCCAGGCTCTAATCAGGGCTGGGGATAAAGTCTGCAACTGAGGTACACACCCTTAACCAGAATTGAACCCGGGGCTCTTCAGTCCATGGGTTGACACTCTATGCATTGAGCCAAACCAGCTAGGGCAGCAGGTTTTATTTTATATACATAATGTATGCAAGATTACTTGTACAATGCTATAACCTTCATTTCTCTTCCATTTAGCTTTGGCAATGAAAGCAATACACTCCGTTTCTTTGCAAAAATGATTAAGCACCAATGTGCCAATGCGGATAGGCTGTTTGTTATTTCATATTTTCTTGGCAATAACACAATGTCAGTGTTTGAACCCATAGAGAGGAATTCAGGTAAGAGACACCTCTCATAGCAATTTCCTTAGAACAACTAACTGTCTCTTCACTTTGAAAATTAGGGAATGTGATCTGATTTTATATACTAGATGATCTAAGATGGCAATTTTCACTTTTTTGGACCAATAATGTTTATTTTACAAAGATCTAGAGATGGTAACCCAGACATATAAAATGGTAAAAGAGGAACAGTTTTGGTTGCCTTGGGTCTGGGGCAGTGGTCGGCAAACTGTGGCTCGAGAGCCACATGCGGCTCTTTGGCCCCTTGAGTGTGGCTCTTCCACAAAATACCGACTTCTGCGCATGGGCCACGAAGTTTCAATCGCACTGTACGTGCGCGCCCGCACGTGGTATTTTGCGGAAGAGCCACATTCAAGGGGCCAAAGAGCCGCATGTGGCTCATGAGCCACAGTTTGCCGACCACTGGTCTGGGGGACTTGGGACACTACCCACTCTTCTTCTGTGGCTTCGGAGACCCCTCTGTGGAATCCAAGGGCTTTAAAATCATGAACTGGCTGCCACCAATTTCACTGACAGCCAGCAAGAAAAAAGGAAATCTGTATTCTTGATAGCACCGCTTACACAATTTTTGCTTAAATATAAGACAAGAGTCCCAGATTAACAAATACAGTATAATCTTCAGAGTCCATCTTCGTTTGGCTTTTCTGTCTGGTGAGGCTGCTGCCAAGGTTCTAGCACTTAGGACCATGGACTGCCTCTACACATTGTGCTTAGACTGTGGCCATTAATAAGGAGAGCCATTGACTTTGGCTGACCAAATTATGGAGCTGCATGGCTCTGTTCTTTTTCCTAAGATGTTTAAAATTTTTATCTGTGCTGAAGACACATGTTTGGGTAGAATGATCAGTGATGCGCTAGTTAATAGGCACTCTGAAAAAATGTCAAAGGATCTAATTTGTACCATTTTCCAATTTTCCTGGTATAAATACCCCAACTGTGGCCAATTTCGATGTCAAGAAATCACCAGTTTAACAACTGGCTTGCAAAATCTCTGGTAGTTGAAAAGTCAGCCCTTATGAGCTGGTTTGAGCCACTCAGCACACCAATGGATAACAAATAATTTGTATAATTACGTCAGGCTCCACAGTGATTTGAATAATGGATAAAATCTTAAAATACGAAATCAAATACGGGTGAATATTAATCATGCTCTTAAAGGTCAAAAAACAAACTTTATACATCTAGAATGGGGAAGATATGGTCAAGCAAATTGCAGCATACGTCAAACAGAAAGGGTGCTGATTGTCAACTGTAAGCTTACTAGTAATAATAGCAGCCATGATTGAGTACCCACTATTATCCTCTAAGAGGCAAACCCCAAGGTGGGATTAAATGTGCAGGAGATTTATTAGGGGAAATGCTGATGAGGGAAATTGGGAAGGAGCCAGAAGAGGCTGGGTGAGCCATCGCACTGCAGTGCATGTCTGCCTCTTGAGAAGGACACAGGGAAGGAAGAAAGGGAGAGATCTTAGAGTGCAGTGTAATTCTAAGAAAGTCTTATTCAGTAAGGCTGACTGGGAGTCTTACAGTCAAAGTCACTAGTTGGAGGCACCTCTCTCTTAGAGAAATGGGCCTGCCTTGTATTTTTGCCTTGCTTAGTCATTTGTTGACGGCTGCCTGTTGGAAGCAAGAACTCGGCACAAATATAGGGATAGAGTTTGGAAATAGCAACTGGGGCCCTCCATCAGTTATGTTCCCCATAGTAGGCGATCTGAGAGGTGCCCTCAGAAATGTTATTCCCATTTTATGAAGGAGAATTCAGAGAAGTTCAGAGATCATCAAGCAAGTGACAAAGCCAGGATGGACTCCAGCTCTGTTTGGCTCCAAAGCCTGGTCTTTCCACCACCTATGGTTTCTGAATATGATAGGAGGAATATGGTAAAGGTGACCCCAAAAGCTCATCTGGTCTCAGATTTTATTCATAGGTCTAGAGATTTCAGTTCACTATCAGAAGATACTGGAGTTTCATGTTCAACTAACTGTTCACTGCTATTCAAGAAGTCAAAAATCAAATCATGGCAGAAGGGAGCAGATGAAATGGGGAGAATTCTGGAAAGCAAGAAATAGGAGACATTGCTAAAAGAAGCAAAGATATTTTGCCCAAGAAAAAAAGTTAATCTGTATGTCAGAATAGGTATAAGACATCATCTGGGTCAAATGAATGGAAATAAGCTCAAGAAAGGAATTTTCTACCTGGTATTATTCAAACATGCGCTAAAAATGAGTATCTTTCCAATGTCCCAATTCTCAGTATGCTGCTGGCCTATAGCAGGAACTTGCTACTGGTAAGTGTTTATTTAAATGTTTGGATTGGGAAGGAGTAAAGAGAGGAAAGAAAGGGCTGGAATGCCACGCTGCTTGTTTCTTTATACACTTGCCTAGGGAGCCTCATTTCTTCACTCACTTTCCCATTCTTCCTTTCAGTCTGAGAATAATAGGCACTATGAGTTCACAGCTAAGTTGTATGGTCTGTGTTTGAGCACGAAGAAACTCTAAAGGCAAGTTGTATGGTTCTTTCACGAATAAAGCCTACTCTAACTTTTCTCTTTTTCTGTAGGGTATACTGGTGGATTGTTCTTGAAAAGAATACGTGTTAAGAGGCCTGGACAAGAAGTTTTTAAAAGTGAACTATCAGAATATATCCAGCCCGAGGAGCTGTATATTGGAGCCACAATAAACGTGAATGGCTACCTGTTTATGTTGCTCAATGCTGATGAGTACACCTTAAAATTCATGGAGGAGAATTCAGATAAGGTGAATTTACTTTGTATAATTCTTGACTTGTCTGTCAGCACGCTGCAATCTGTGTTTTTCTTTCTCTAGGCCTTTTCTTCTCCATCTTGCCACCCGTTTGATATTGTGCATTCACACATGTGGGCATGAATAATGGATCAGCGTGACTTGGCCACAGGTCCTGTCACAGAGGCCAGGTCCCGGGCTACTCTGTTTACATGCTGGGTCCTTTGCTGCCCAGCATCACAAATGCCAGGCACAGGCAGGAGGCAGGCCCAGGGTTGAATCAAGTTTCCTGAGTTTTTTGCTGACGCCAACAATGTTTTCAGAAAGAAATCCGGCAACTATAGGAAAGGAAGAAAATCTGGTGCCACACACTGTGCTGCCCCAGTTAATTGGCACCGGCCTAGAGGGAAGGCTCAGACCTGAACAAACAGAATCCCCTGGGGAATCCGGTAGTTGCTGGGCTTGCAACTTCCCATAACAGGAGCCACCTGAGGCCTAAATTAGAGTTCAAGAACAAATTGGCAACAGTGAGCTCAAAGAGCTTTTTCATTTGAGATAAGATGGCAGATGGATACTGTTATTAAAAGTACTATTAGGCAGTGCGCTTCAGTAAAAATAACAGGTTGACAAAATCTTGATTTTAAGTGTGCACTAGTTTGGTATGCAAAACAAACATATATATTGAAGAATCATTTCCTAATATTGAAAAATCTATCTAGAAACAATTTATTTGAGAAGTCTGCCCATTTTGTTTCACTTGTATATAAAATGCTCAGGGGCAAGTTGCTAAGACCAGTTTCTCAGTGTATATCATATCATGCATATCAGTTTGGGTCCTCTGAGAAGCAGATGCCAAGACAGATTTAGACATGTAAGAGATGTACTGGAAGAAAGTTGTATAAAGGATAAAGGTAGAGGAAACAAGAGTAGGCAGGGAGAGCCTTCAGAGGTCTGAACCCCGAGAAAGGAGAAGGAAGGAAGGAAGGAAGGAAGGAGGATGGGTCAGGAAGAGCCTCCAATTTAGTAAAGCTCTGAGAACTCCTTGGCCAGGCCGATGAGGATCCAGTCTCGTGTCAGGCAGGATGGCCCAGCTCTGGTGCCCCCACCTGCTTAGTCATTGGTGGGAACAGCCTGGGAAGAGTTGGCCTCGGTAGGAGCACTGCGCCAATCTTGAAGGTACAGCAGCTGAGGGCTGTGACCTAACAGTGCTCTTCTCTCTCCAGTCTCTCTGAAGGTAAGCCCGGGTAGCATGCTCCGGGGCTCTCACATTTGCAGTCTTTCCATTTGCAGTGTTAAGAATTCAGGTTATTGTCAAACTGCGAACCAGTATCTCTGCAAAAGCACCGAATTCATGTGAGAGGCTCAGTAATAGGGCAGTTAGAGTTTTGGAGACCAGTAGGCTTGTCTTGGAAACCTGACTCTACACTTAATAGTTTGAGGGGCTTTAGACATGTAACTTTCATGAGCTTCACTTTCCTCATCTTTGAAATGGGAGTAGCAAAATGCCTCTCTGTGTGTGTGTGTGTGTGTGTGTGTGTGTGTGTGTGTGTGTGTTTTGATATTTTTTCATTGATTTTTAGAGAGAGTGGAAGGAGGGGGAGAGGAGTAGAGAGAGAAACATCAGTGTGAAAGAGACATATAGATTGGTTGCCTCTTGTACTGGGCCCCGACCAGGGTCAGGTATCAAGCCTGCAACCGAGGTACGTGTCCTTGACTGGAATAGAACCCGGGACCCTCCAGTCCCTGGGCCGATGCTCTCTCCATTGAGCCAAACAGGCTAAGGCCAGGGTCTCTTTTGTAGACTTCCTATGAAGATTAGATGCGGTAATGTGTGTGAAGTGCTTAACACTTTCTGGCCCATAGCGAGCTCAGTCAATGTATAATTTACAATATCTATTATAAATTAGGGTTCGATATTCAAACACAGGGTAAGCCTACACCTTTCTATAAAATACAGTTGACCCTTGAACCACACAGGGGTTAGGGGCTCTGATCCTCCCACACACAGTTAACAATACACACAACTAATAGCCGAATATTGACTGGAAGCTTTACCAATCAATAACATAAACCGTCCTTAAACATATATTGTATGTTATATGTATTATATAGTATTTTATTATAATAAGTAATCTAGAGAAAAGAAAATGGTATTAAGAAAATCATAAGGATGAGAAAATACATTTACAGCATTTATCTTTAAAAATCCAGGTAGAGTGGAACCATGCAATTCAAACCCGTGTTGTTCAAGGGCCAACTGTATATATATATCATGAATATATATGTGTGTATATGTATATGTTTTTGAAATTTATTTTTAACTACAGTTGGTAAAAATGAATATATATAAGAAATAATGAATATATATATTTATTAATTTATTTTAAGATATAAAGGGCTTTTCTCCTTTCAAAAAGATAAAAGCAGGGTTGGACATCTGGTATCAGCATCCCAAGTGAAAACTTCATTTTAAAACTGCCCTTAACAAGGACATTCTAAACAGAGAAAGATTAATATACTCTTTAATATCAGTCTGAGGAGTCTTTTCAAAAGAGCTCATAGATCCTATCATGGCAATAGATGAAAGGAAATGTAAAGCAAGGAGGGAATCGGGGGCTGCAATAGGTGCCAAACGCTCTGGTGGAAGAGAGAGGACTTTATACTAAATTATCATCCACATTACTTTCATATTTAGTCTTCTAATTTTTTTTAGCTCTGAGCTGTAATTAATTTACAACCTTATGCTTTACTGCATTGACTAAGGAGTATTCTTACAGAGTCAAAACTGAATCACAGAGTAGGAGGCAGAAACTGGGGGATACCTGGAGAATGAATGAAAGGGGATTTTAGTGTGTGTGGACCTTTAACACCCAGCCTTGTTCTGGTAAGTGCATTGTGTGCTGGCCAGCAGTTTCAGGGGCTCACTCTGAAGATCTGGAGAAAATGGGGGTCCTCTTATCCAATTTTGAATCCCTATTCTCTCCATTAGGGTCTCCCAACATACTAGGCCAATGTCTAAGGGCGAAAGGGAGGAGGCTGAGATAGAAGTAGCTGTTGGTTTTCTGATTCCCGTGGCCTGCCATACCTTCAGCTCATTTCTCTTAGATCTGGGCTTAGGCTAATGTCACTCTTAGTCCTAAAGCCTTCACTAAAGAGGTAAAAATATAGTCATGTCTTCTCTGTGTTGATCTCTATGGAAAGACATGCCCAGCTAACTTCAGGTTCACAGTGTGACGTCTTTTTTTCTTGCCATCAGAAAGATTGGGCTGCCTATGTCTCAGGCATATTTAAATATCTATCCTTTCTTTTCTCCCTTCCAGTTTCCTTATAGCAACCTTGAATGTGCCCTACAAAAGCTGAAAGCTGAAAAATCAAAATCCAGAGAGATCAAGCAGGTATTTAGGGCTGTTGATTGTTATCTCACAAAGATGGTGGATTATAATACATTCAGGTAAGCCATATTCTGCCAGCAATAATCTCTGTTCCCTTCAAGATTGTTCAAAGAACAGAAAGAAAAATATCTTCCCTAGTGTTCCCTAATTAATACTGCATGCTTTTTTTATTAGAAATTGACAATTCTTTGCATTTATATTACTTTGTGGTCAAGTTTTGCTCATTTCTAGTAAATTCCTAATGCATTTACATATTGAAGAAGTTTATAGATGAGAACAGAGAGACAAAATATAGAAAGTCATTTGCTCACATTGTCTTGTGAATCAGGATGTCGAAGGATCAGAGGAATGCCAGGAAGGGTGCATCCCAGGGAGAAAGGCAAAATAAATGGAGCTAAATGCACCCTCCACCATCTGGGCAACAAAAGAGGCCCATCTCCCTAGGAATGTGATCCAGTTGGAAAAGATAGTGGATACTTTACTGATTACCAGAGAAAAAGTTATACGTATGCAGATCACTGTGTGTATGTATGTTCACACACATCTGTGTATTTTGAAAGAAATAAAGAATACAGAAATTGAGGGAAAATATATGACAGTCATTATAGAACTATTAGAAGACATCATGAACAGTAAAGATTTCTCTAAGGCAGTAAGGAAATGTAAAGCAAGGAGGGAATCGGGGGCTGCAATAGGTGCCAAACGCTCTGGTGGAAGAGAGAGGACTTTATACTAAATTATCATCCACATTACTTTCATATTTAGTCTTCTAATTTTTTTTAGCTCTGAGCTGTAATTAATTTACAACCTTATGCTTTACTGCATTGACTAAGGAGTATTCTTACAGAGTCAAAACTGAATCACAGAGTAGGAGGCAGAAACTGGGGGATACCTGGAGAATGAATGAAAGGGGATTTTAGTGTGTGTGGACCTTTAACACCCAGCCTTGTTCTGGTAAGTGCATTGTGTGCTGGCCAGCAGTTTCAGGGGCTCACTCTGAAGATCTGGAGAAAATGGGGGTCCTCTTATCCAATTTTGAATCCCTATTCTCTCCATTAGGGTCTCCCAACATACTAGGCCAATGTCTAAGGGCGAAAGGGAGGAGGCTGAGATAGAAGTAGCTGTTGGTTTTCTGATTCCCGTGGCCTGCCATACCTTCAGCTCATTTCTCTTAGATCTGGGCTTAGGCTAATGTCACTCTTAGTCCTAAAGCCTTCACTAAAGAGGTAAAAATATAGTCATGTCTTCTCTGTGTTGATCTCTATGGAAAGACATGCCCAGCTAACTTCAGGTTCACAGTGTGACGTCTTTTTTTCTTGCCATCAGAAAGATTGGGCTGCCTATGTCTCAGGCATATTTAAATATCTATCCTTTCTTTTCTCCCTTCCAGTTTCCTTATAGCAACCTTGAATGTGCCCTACAAAAGCTGAAAGCTGAAAAATCAAAATCCAGAGAGATCAAGCAGGTATTTAGGGCTGTTGATTGTTATCTCACAAAGATGGTGGATTATAATACATTCAGGTAAGCCATATTCTGCCAGCAATAATCTCTGTTCCCTTCAAGATTGTTCAAAGAACAGAAAGAAAAATATCTTCCCTAGTGTTCCCTAATTAATACTGCATGCTTTTTTTATTAGAAATTGACAATTCTTTGCATTTATATTACTTTGTGGTCAAGTTTTGCTCATTTCTAGTAAATTCCTAATGCATTTACATATTGAAGAAGTTTATAGATGAGAACAGAGAGACAAAATATAGAAAGTCATTTGCTCACATTGTCTTGTGAATCAGGATGTCGAAGGATCAGAGGAATGCCAGGAAGGGTGCATCCCAGGGAGAAAGGCAAAATAAATGGAGCTAAATGCACCCTCCACCATCTGGGCAACAAAAGAGGCCCATCTCCCTAGGAATGTGATCCAGTTGGAAAAGATAGTGGATACTTTACTGATTACCAGAGAAAAAGTTATACGTATGCAGATCACTGTGTGTATGTATGTTCACACACATCTGTGTATTTTGAAAGAAATAAAGAATACAGAAATTGAGGGAAAATATATGACAGTCATTATAGAACTATTAGAAGACATCATGAACAGTAAAGATTTCTCTAAGGCAGTGCTTGGCAAACTCATTAGTCAACAGAGCCAAATATCAACAGTACAACAATTGAAATTTCTTTTGAGAGCCAAATTTTTTAAACTTAAACTCTATAGGTAGGTACATTGTTATTAACTTAATTAGGGCACTCCTAAGGCTTAGGAAGAGCCACACTCCAGGGGCCAGAGAGCCGCATGTGGCTTGCGAGCCACAGTTTGCCGACCACGGCTCTAAGGTAAAGCTGAATGCTGAAGGGACTGTTCAGTGGCTGATGCAGGCAAATTTCCAAACAGTGGAAACACAAGGAAATTCAAATTCAGGGTCTAGTACAATTGTGAGACTTCCCTTCGTCTGAAAACAAAGTGAATGGAGCGCTCAGGAGAATGTAAATTAAATCATGGGTGGAGGACAAAGGGGACTTTCTCTTTAGGCTGAGAATTCTGGCTCCTGAAAACAATTGTGGCTGAAAGCTCTATAGGAAACTGGGCTTGATGCAGTCAAGATGTGAACTGAGAAATGAGGAAGCGAGCCCGGGAGAGGGTGGCAGGGAGGCCTTTCCAACTTTGTGCCTGGAGTCACCTCTTGCATCAAAAACGGGTGACCGGAGCCCACCATGAGGCCCCGAGTGTCCCCAAAGCTCATTTGTTCTTTTAACAAAGCTCTTTTCTTTTTCCAAAATGTTCTTTTGAGAGAAGCAGTCGGAGGACATATTTTTATTGTTTAGCATTCCCAACCTTCTGGGATCAATAAGAATTTATAGTTCTTTGTTACTGTTCATAGTAGTACACATGTTCATGGCCTTTTGCAAAATAAACAGAGACAGAATAAAGAACAAAGACAATTGCTCAGGCCATGGATTAATGGCAAGCAGTGCAGGAGAAAAGTTTCCATCAGAAATGAGGGAGTGGTTTTCTTTTATTATTTTGTATCCTTTTACGAAAGCGTCCATTCTCCCAACACTCCAGCAAAGTCTATTGGAAATACTTTAGTGAGTTTATGGGGCTTTGCGGGGAGCACTTAGGCCCGGCAGGAGATGCAAGGAGGAAAAGTTGCTCCACAGATGGAGGCCTGACCCTAATTGAGGGTGGAATAAAGGATCACCACACTCTGGTTAGAGGATAGCCTCAAGGTACGCATGCTCAGAAAGAACCAGTTCATGATCTTCAGGCCCTCTCCTGGCCAGAAATTCCTTAAGATGAAAATTTGATCAGGTTGTGCCTGGCTTGAAAAACCCTTCAGTGGCTTGCCATTGTCCCTATAATAAGATCCAGACATGTTACTGCAGCTGGCAGGGTCTTGAGTGATATGATTCTCTTGTTTTCATTTTTGGTGTCATCGCTTCTTTTCCTCCAGCACTGTCCTCTGGCCTTGTTGGCTGTCACTCAGTTTCTCAAACACATCAAGGTCTTTCCAGGTTCTAAGCCAGTGGTTCTCAACCTTCTGGCCCTTTAAATACAGTTCCTCATGTTGTGACCCAACCATAAAATTATTTTCGTTGCTACTTCGTAACTGTCATGTTGCTACTGTGATGAATCGTCATGTAAATATCTGATATGCAGGATGGTCTTAGGCGACCCCTGTGAAAGGGTCGTTCGACCGCCAAAGGGGTCGCGACCCACAGGTTGAGAACCGCTGTATAAGCCTATGCACACATTAGTTCCCTCTGCTTGCAATGTCTACACCAACATTCTTCTCATGACAAACTCTAGGACTCAGCTTAAATGTCACTCTCTCAGACGGACTTACTTTCTGACTATTCTGCCTAACTATTTCTACCTAACGTACATCACTCACTTATGCTTAGCCCTTTGTTTATATTTTTCTTACAGCAACTTGCAGTTACTTTACTTGGATATCTGTACTTGGTGTATGTGTGCTTATGTTCATCTTATCTGATTATAATATGAACTTTCTGAGGCACAGAGACCTTGATAGCTCGGTTCACTGCCCTGTTCCCAGCACCTAGCACTGGGTTCAGTACATATCATAGTTCCTGAATGGAATAACAAACTTCTAGAATTATTCTTAGGGGTTTGAGTTTGGAGGTGTTCAAAGATAAATATTTATGGCTGTGAGTCTCCCCTGCTGAATTATTTCCAGATGAGAGTAGATGAAGACATCTCCATATGACATGCTCCGTATTGGGCACTGTGCCTTATTGGTTGGCCTACAACGGTGAGTCCCTAGTGCATGGTCTTCAGGCTTCTCTTTTGCTCCTCATACTCTTCTCTGAGCGAAGGCAAAGGATCTAGTTAGGGAGTTGCTATCGCACCACACCCTATAAATCTGTGCTTGGCACTTTTACCGGCTAATAGTTTTTTTATTTATATGTTTATCTATCTATAATAATAAAAGCATAATATGCTAATTAGACCAGACATCCTTCCAGACAAAGCTGGGCCTGTGAGGGAAGCCCAGGTCCCGGGTGCCTGCCTGCAGCCAGAGGGAAGCCCGGGTCCCAGGTGTCAGAGGGAAGGTGATGCCGGCAGCCGGGGAAAGGAAGGCCTACTTTTGCACGAACTTCATGCATCGGGGCTCTAGTGTATAAATATTATGGCTCTTCTCACCATAATGTAATATGTTTTCTGCTTTAGCCTTATCACTTTTCATAGTGCCTGGCTGATAGTAGGGTGTTAATAAATATTTGTTAAATGGCTACATTTTATCCAGCCCTCATTGTTCTGTCTGTCAGCTGAACGCCTAGTTCTCTATATTAATTCCTCAAGCTTGGACCTTTCACCTAAGCTAGAGACCTGGAAATACAAATACCTCCAGGACATCTCTCACTTAGGTATCCAAACATAACTTTCCCCTCATTTTCTTCTCCCATAAAGTTGCAGCTGGGGACCCTATCTCTGTAGAAGCCCCATACTTCTCCCCAGGATCTGGGCCAGGGTTTGCTTTGTCTCTCCCCTCACTCCTATGTTGACATCTCCCAACCTCTGTAAATTGCACTTCTTAAACTACTTCTCTCCATCCCCAGCTTCACTGATTCGGTTCAGCTTTTCATCGCTGTTCACTTAGACTTTCTTGAGAGCTTTGTAACTGATTTTCTTTTCTTAACTCTCATATTCCAAAGTTTTGCTAGAGTGACCTTCCTAAAATCTGATCATGTTGTTCTTCTGCTCTACACCCCCCATCAGCGCCTTGTTGTCTTTAGGGCAAATCCAACCCTTTCAGTGTTTCATGTGAATCTGGTCATAACTGGACCTTTGCCTATACCTTCCTCCTTATTTCCATCTCACTAGAAGAGTGTTTTTGTAGAAGTCACCGTTCAGTGAATATTTACGTTGGGCCAAACATCATGCTAAATGCTTCTCATCTACTATCCATTGGTAGCCCCTGCTGAGTTATTTGTTTACTTCTCTGCCTCCACAATTGGCTCCTGCCAAATACAATAGATGTTTGTTGAATAATTTAATGAATGGTCCTATTTCTCAAGGAGCATTCAGGCTACAGTTTGCAGCAAACAAGTAAATAATTGATTACTTTGCACTGGGGAAGGGCAATCTGTCTCTGACTGTAGGGGAGTCAGGGAGAGCTTGGTCTCAGCCTCACAAGCCAAGTGACGTGGGCAACTCACTACCTACTTGCACCTCACTCTTTTGTCTAAGACCCCTTGTAGGCATTGCCAATCTGAAACTCTTAATGTGTAAGTTCATAAATACACTTGTAAAATGTTCCCTTTACAAATCCTTGCATTAAAGTAGTAGCATAGGCAGACAGAGGCAGGATTGTGGTATAGGCCTCTGGGCCCCATCTCTGTGGCTGTGAGTCTCCCCTGCTGACATGCCTGGTACCCTCAGTATACACTTGGAGACTCAGAGATGGGACCTGCTGCTCTGGGCAGAGGTTCAAGCCCTGGGCATTTTTCTTCTCAGAGATTTTCATGTTGTCTTAAGGAAAACCTTGAGAGTGGGAGCTCATAAAGTTCCTCTGCCTAAGGTGCCAGGGTTGATAATGGATTATTGGATTAATGAATGGGCCTTCCTGAGATATTTGCCTCAAAACTGACTTGAGGGAATGCAGGGACTAGGGAAAAGAAGGCAGTTTGGGGAGGGAATGTTTCTCTTCTGCTTTGTGGAGGTCACTAGTTCTGCCTCTAGGCCAGTGATGGCGAACCTTTTGAGCTCGGCATGTCAGCATTTTGAAAAACCCTAACTTAACTCTGGTGCCGTGTCACATATAGAAATTTTTTGATATTTGCAACCATAGTAAAACAAAGACTTATATTTTAGATATTTTATTTTATATATTTAAATGCCATTTAACAAAGAAAAATCAACCAAAAAAATGAGTTCGGTGTCACCTCTGACACGCGTGTCATAGGTTCGCCATCACTGCTAGGCTGTACCTATTTATCTGGGACCATTTTTTTAAAATTTCTTTATTGGTTAAGTTATTACATATGTGTCCTTATCCCCC